AGCACAGGTATATTTGTAGCAATAGCCAACAATACATTGTATGGGTCAAAATTACACATTTTTCTTTTATGTCAAAAATCATTAGGATATTAAGTAAAGATCATGTTCCATGAAGATATTTTGTAAATTTCCTACCGTAAATATATCAAAACTTAATTTTTGATTAGTAATATGCATTGCTGGACTTCATTTGGACAACTTTAAAAAACGATTTTCTCAATATTTAGATTTTTTTGCACTCTCAGATTCCAGATTTTCAAATAGTTGCATCTCAGCCAAATATTCTAGTCCTATCCTAACAAACCATACATCAATGGAAAGCTTATTTATTCAGCTTTCAGATGATGTGTCCATCTCAATTTCAAAAAATGTACCCTTATGACTGGTTTTGTGGTCCAGGGTCACATATTTAATGTTTAATGCATAGTTATGTGCAACTGGATTTTGGACCAATGAGAGGTAATTGTGGGCGGGGCTACCCAGCTCAATTTGCATTTACACATTTAGTAGATGCAAAGCGACTTAAAAAAGAGGAACAAAGACAATTTGTCAAAGAGCCAACAGTATTCCTAATACACAAAAAATAGAAACCAATAAACCATCAAATTCGCTCATCAGTACTAGGTTACATTTATATAACAAGCGCATTTCCCCTCCAAATTCTGATGAGCCATAATTCAAAAAATAAAAAAATCATTTGCATTTAATTTTGCAAGGTAATAGACTATTATTATTATTATTATTATTATTATCATAAACACATGTCCCCTCCAAATTCTCATTACCATAATGTAAAAAATACAATGTGTATATTTTGCACTTGCATTTAATAAAAATATATATATATATTATTATAATGACACTTAACCACATTTCCCCTCCAAATTCTCATTATCATAACGTAAAAACTTTTTTAGATGCAATTTAGCAAGAAAATAGAAATGTTTTGCATTATTATTATTATTATTATTATACATTCTTTAAAAAAAAAATATTCCCCTCCCCATGTTTGAATCTCAGTCCCCTCTGTGTCATCAGATGCGACATATGGGTGAAAGCCCTTATGTTTTATAGCATCTCTCAAATCAATGCACTTACTCTCATTACACCATATGGAGACACAGACGCTGCTGAGGAAATGATGCGCGTGCTTTTCAGCAGAACATAAAGAGTTTAATTTACGATCATCCCTCTGGAGATTCCTACATGTGTGTTTCTGATCAAACTGGTAGTCCTTCACTAAAAACATGACAATAAAAGCTCTGTGTTTCTCTCTGTTAGCGGCTCCTCAGAGCTCAAATCAAAAAACACAAGACCACCACATGAAAGTGGAGCCTAAGTTTTCAAAGTTCAGCATGTTGTGTTGTTTCTTCACAGAAATCAAGATGAAGTGTTAGTAATTACATACTAGAGCTCTGCTGGGTCTCGCCATATTAATAGACATGCATTCTGGGACTTAATGCTCAGCATGCAACAAATTCCAATCAAAATTGTGACTAAAAATATATAGCTTATAGATTTGATTTAAAAAAAGTTTAATATTTTGTTAATAAATAATTATTCAAGTTAGCATCAATATAAAATATTTTTATTAACTATTTAGATTTGATTGTTGAAGTCTCTCATATTTCAGCCTAAAATGAAAATAATAATAATAATAATAATAATAATAATAAAATAATTTAAAAAAACAAAGACTTCTTTTCATTAATATTTTTTTTCACTGTGACATTATTTTCATACCAATTAAGTACAATTCCCTCCAAAACACACACACACTCACACAAATATATATATATATTTTTTGTTTGTTTAAATTAAATTATATACAAAAAAGATGGTGGTGAATCAATTTTCATTCAGAAACTGCTGGTAAATTTCACAAATATTTTTGTGTTTTAAAGAGTTACTTTCACTAAGAATCTAATTAGAATCACCATTAAAAATCATGACAATTACAAACATACGTCAAAGCATCCAGATGCATTGAAGTAATAAAGAAGATTTGTGCTTAATTGGCATGAGAATAATGCAAATCACAATGCAACGCATCTTAATGGTCCTAAAAATAGGCTTTATTTTGCAAAACTATAATTTAATTTCTCTTTTGATTTTATGGTAAAACACAACCTAGACTTGATTTCATGATTCACCCAAAAAGGACAATTGTGCAATGTTCTTCAGATGATGCAATGAGAAGATGATAACAGTATTTAGGTTTAAAACAATCCATTTATGCATCTCATGAAATTGATTCTCTTGAGAAAAAAATCTAGAGCACCTTAAAGGGGTCATCGGATTCCCATTTTCCACAAGTTGATATGATTCTTTGAATAACATTTAAAATACAACCACTAATGCTGCTCACAAACATCAGTTCGAGGCCGTGTCCTCCACTATAGCAGTGAAAAACAAAGCTTAAATGATTGAATGAAGACTGAAGCCATTAACAAAATGATGATGGCCTTCTTACTAATCCGTTTAGAGAAGGACAGGAGCAGACAAGAGGACGAGTGCGGGACAGACATCATCAGAGCTGCGTGTGCTCACATGCAAATGACTGAGGGCGGGACGAACAGCAATTACCCAGCATGCCGGCTGAGTGTTTAATTGCAGGTGGCAGCGCTCAGCTGATTCAGAGTATCTGCACTCAGATATTAAGGCCTGAATTTAAGATTTATGTATGTAACTTGCATATAAAATTTCCATCTATTTGGATTACACAGTTGTAACATAAATAACTAATAAACTTCATATATAAATGAAACGGGTAAACAAACAGGCAAGATTTCTGTTATAATACTGATTATAATAAACTGAATGTGTTTTAAAAACACAATAACCAGGTTGCTATTTTCATTGCATTTACATCTACATTCATCAATGCATCTATTAAAATATGTTCATTGTGAAAACAATTACATTTATAAAAAGTATGAACATGGTTAAAATACGGCTAACTGTGAAACAAACAATGTTAAATTAATTACAATGCATGAGACTGAAAACAATTTGATGATAAATATATAAACCTTGTTATTGTGCATTTATATACATAAATAAAATATCAATGTATGTATATAAATACAAACAATACATTACATATAATTATTATAATTAATAATAGCAATAATAATAATAGCAATAAATTATTGCATTAGAAGGCAAAATATCATACCAAGTGTCATTATTAATTATTTGCATCTATATGCTTCAGATCAACATAAATATGATCACTGTTAAAAACTAATCAATAACAATTATATATACATATGTATATATATATATAAATATATATACATACACATATACACACACACACACACACATATATATACATAATTAATATCTGAAAATATAACTATTTTATATAACACATAACAACAGAAATATATGATAAATAATTATCATAATTCATAATAATCACATACTACTACTACTTGTTATCATTATTGTTATTATTAATTTTAATCATAATAACAATAAATAATAATAATATTGCATTAGACCTCAAAATATCAAATATCAAACAAAGTGTCATTATTAACTTGTTAAATTTAAATTAAATTTGTATCTGTTTGATTTTATTTCAATCATATTTGAAATCCATTATTCAAAATGCATTTATTCAAATTGCTTAGAATAAGCATACATCTGTTCAATGTGAATTTTTTTTATTTATTTAGTTAAGAAGTATGAACATGGTTAAAATATAGCTGTGGAACATGCAATATTCAATTAGTTAATGCATTAGATTGAAACCAACTGGATTTATTGATGAAATATATAAAGCTGGTTATTGTGTATTTAAAACACATTCAGTTTATTAGTACAATTACAGCAATCTGATTTGTTTCATTTATACATGACTGATGAATATGCATCACATTAAGTTTATTAGTTTATGTTCACACTATGTCATCCAAATGCATGGGAATTTTATGTGCAATTCAAATACACAAATCTTACATTCAGGCCTAAAGGTTATGCTGCATTTCAGCGCTTCTGCACCCACCTTCAAAGGCTCTGGCGGCGTCGACGAGGTGAGACCAGTCCAGGCACATTTTTAATGAATATATACATAAATGCACATATTTAAACTTTACGTTTAGAAAATTATGTTTTACTATGTACTTAATTATTGCACATATTTTAGTATTATAATAATTTATATTGTTATGAACACAATTATTACATTATTATTATTAGATAAAATTATAGGACATAGTATATTTATAATAATATACATAGTGTATAATAATATATATGTTTTATATTATTTATAATTTTTCTAAATATTTATTAGATCTCATATTATTAGTAACATTATATTATTAGTAATATACAGTGAGGTCCATATATATTTGGACACAGGCACAATTTTTATTATTTTAGTTTCGGAGTGGCCAAATCAACAGTTTGGATTTTCAACAAAATATAATGCTTACATGCTTTCCTGTGAAATAAGTCATTTTATGCAGCAGCACGATGTTGGACAGCTGTCCCGTCAGCAGATGAAGTCTAAACGCTGAGCTCCTATACATGGCCTCATTTTTCAATCAATTGCGTGCGTCCAAACCACTCATTGTGCATCTCTCTCTCGCCTGATAGACAGGATATGCCATAAACATTTCCATCTCACAAAGAACTGGCTCTGAGAATGATGTGAGGGAAAACACTGGAGGTAAATGTGCCTCTCTCTCTCTCTGTCTGAGCCTCAGAGGGACACAATCTGTCAAATTAGAGCGTTCACTAGATGAGCAGGCTGAGGAAAAAAATCAGCAAACTGCTATCTGTCGAAACAATCAGAAATGTATCACGCGTGACAGCAATCAGCCTCCTCGGGCCACTCGAAAAACCAGCTATAAATGAATCAGCGCTCACACTCGGATTAAAACTGCTAAATGTGTTCATATTACACATCCTTTAAACCAAAT